CCAAAGAGAAAAAGACAAAATCACAATTAGAGCACCCGCAATAATAAAGTAAGGTGTCATCTATAAAACATGTACATCTCAGTAATAGACTAGATTAATAGTAAATCACTTCAATGGTATGTCTACATGGGTATCTATAGCTCTCTAATCCATTGTCTCGTTTTTCTCTATAGACTATCTTCATATTAGTAGATAGCTTTGTTCTCTCTCTCTTCATTTAATCTCTTCTAGGTAAGAAAATATGTTGACATGGATATCTTGTAGAGAGCCTATAGATAATCATTGTGGATGCCCTTACAATTCAAAAGCAGGTGCAACAACACAATTACCCTTACTAAACTTAACAGCTGACGAAAACGTGGAGAGTAGCGCACAAATAACGGTAACCACGGCCTCCTCTTTATTAATCAAATCTTGGTGTTTGCATTTTGCAAGGCTGGCGGCCGCAGCAACGGTCCCAAACTCCTCGGCTCGGCTCGGCTCGTCACGTGGCCGGCAATCACGTCGAGGGAGAGCGGGCCCCACACATGAGGTTTACCTAAATGCTCCGGAACGCAACAAGATTTTGGGGAAAACGTACGGGGACCAGCGGAAGCAGATCGTGATCGATGCCGCTTTCTTCAGCTGCGGCAGAAGGGAGAGCCATGATGATGCGATGCAACCACCCCAACCGTTAGTTGCCGCCGAGCTGGCTGCCCTCCTTTTGTTTCTTTCAGATCATATCATCGTGTCAATTTGCCAGACCTTGGCTTTCTATATCAGAGGAGTAACTATTACTATAATAGTATTAACTCTCCTCCTTCTATGATATAAGGATCGTATTATTTTTTTTATAAAAACTAAGAAAATAACAAAAGTATATGTCTCATAGTATAAAAATGTGATAGTTGAGGGAATAAAATATTATAGGAGTTGATAGTTGAAAAATAAACTAGTGCAAGAGTTAATAATTGGAGGAGTAAACTAAGAATGTGTTTAGATCTAAACTTTAGATTCAAACTTCTAACTTTTTCCATCACATCAACATGTCATACACACACAACTTTTCAATCATACCGTACCAATTTCAACCTAAACTTCCAACTTTGGAAGGAACTAAACATAGCCTAATACAATTATGGGACAAATTAATTAAAAGGGTAAGATGTATTATATTATAAGACGGAAGTAGGAGAATATAATTAATTAGCTAGGTCCAGTGTTTGCAGTTAGCCTAACAATGAAAATGTTAGATTGCGGATGATTATGGGCGTAAATAAAGTATAGACTAATGTTCAGTGTTTTTTATACTGACATTTTCTGGTACGAAGAATTGTAGATTAGTCTTTCAAGTTCATCTAAGCCTCTCAATTTGATTCTTGATATTTCAATTCGTCTATTTTATTTCTTCAAGTTCTTGTTTCACTTTAAACTCATCTTTAACCCACCTAGAAAGTCAGATGGCTAAATCTAATCAACACCTCTCTTGATTAATTAAATGGCTGTTATACCCCTTTTCACATGTATAAGAAAAAATGCCTACATAACGAGAACCCCTATAAACCTAATTTTTAGACATACGTTCAATAACTACATTGCGCTTTTTAAAAAAGTTTTAATAATACATTTTCTTATAAGTATACGATAGACATTAAAACACAACCCCCATATGCAGGTTGAGATAATGGAAAGTACTACATCTATAAAATTTTTATTCATTTTTTTCTTTCTAGTATATGTAAATTAAGGGTAAAATGGACATTTGCTAATACAAATGATGATTAGGATCGGCCGTGTGGTACATCAAGTGGGTTCAATGATAATTGTAAGTCAAAATAGGGCCTTTGGTAAAACTTTTGGGATTATATTGGCTATTCACCAATTGTTTTAACAAACTAAAAAAATTAGGGTGCATTCTAAATAGAGATTGGAAAGGGTTGATTAGCCTCACGCATAATGAGAAACATGATTAGCATATGATTAATTAAGTATTAATTATTAAAATAAATACAAAATGGTTTCATTTGATTTTTTTAAAGCAACTTCTATATATATATTTATTTATTTATTTATAAAACACACCATCTGGTAGTTAAAAAAAAAGTAGCCAAGCTGACCTCTACTTTAGAACATGGCCTCAGCAAACGATTATTTAACCTAGGGGTGGGAACAAATTTAGCCCTGTGAAAGCATACTTAGGGGGTGTTGATCCATAGGTGTAAAGTTTTGGCGTGTCACATCGGTTATTATGTCGCATGGGGTGTTCGAGCACTAATAAAAAACTAATTATAGAATCAATCAGTAAACCGCAAGAAGAATTTATTAAGCCTAATTAATCCGTCATTAGCAAATGTTTATTGTAGCACCACATTGTCAAATCATGGAACAATTAGGGCCCTGTTTAGTTCCAAAGTTTTTTTTTCAAACTTCCAACTTTCCATCACATCAAACTTTTCATACACAAATAATTTTTCTATCACATCGTACCAATTTCAACCAAACTTCCAAACTTCAGCGTGAACTAAACACAGTCTAGGTTTAAAAGATTTGTCTCATAAATTAGTCGCAATCTGTGTAATTAGTTATTTTTAGTCTATATTTAATACTTAATGCAGGTGTTCAAACGTTCGATGTGACAAGGTGAAAAATTTTGAGGTGGGATCTAAATAGGGCACTAAGGTGGTGTTCTTTTCTCCTGAAGATGAAGATTATTATTTTTATGCATAACGAGGTGGTATTAATGTATAATTGATTGTGTTTTAATCACTACAAACTTGAAAAATAGATTAATATGATATTTTAGAGCAACTTTTATATATAAATTTTTTACACAAAACACATCGTTTAGCAGTTTGAAAAACGTACAACGAAAATTTAATTCTTCCTCCAATTTTTATTGGAGAAAAGAACGGGTGCCACTAATATAATGCCGATGCACATGTCAATTCGAGGAGCACGAACGGGTATGCACACTTTTTAGCACATGCACACAAAATCTTTGACATGTCAACGAGCCGGCCGCACGTTGTCTCAAGTACTGTATATAATCCTCCCGACATGTGCTAGTACTATTACTATATGCACGCCCTACACAATGCGCCGGTAAAATTAACTGAAGTCAACATGTCGAAGCAGCTAGTACTCCGTAGTAGAACGTACACCTACAGAACAGAATCCAGGTGAAGTACAGACAGACTCCAGAACCATGCAGCCGTTAAAAGCAGAAACCGAGAAATCAACCGAACCCCCGCGATCGGACGTCAGAACGCCGCAGGCCGCAGCCGGAAGCAAAGGATTCGTGGTCGGTCTCGTGGGCGCAGCGCTGGCGCAACATCTGGAGCGGGTGGGTCGTTGCCTCGTTGGCCGGCGAAACCTCCCGTTTTCTCGCGCCGCCGTCCCATTTTCACGAGGCGTCCGCGTCGCATCCGGTGGAGGCGGCCGCGTCCCGCACGTTATACTGCATTACTCTACTCCTATGGAGTAGTATATGTCAACTCAAGGCGTTTGACGAGCGTGCAGAGGCGAGGGCGAGGCGATACCGGTTGTTTTGGTTGGGCAGCTGAGGTACGGTGTGCCGACACGGTCACACGGACAAAAAAACATGTGTTTTGCCGACAGGCCGTACTGTATCCGGATGGTGACGCGACGCCCGTCCGGATTGGATTCTAGATTAAAATAGTTCGTTCCATCGACGTGAGAATTCTCAGCGTACGTGTCGGCACGGCAACCACACGCACGCATACTCCCATTTCGCACCAGTTTGATAACCAATGACAGAGCCAGCACCCCGTGAGATCAATTATCACTGATTGAGGAGTATTACTGATTGATATTTTAGTGATTGATTGATATTTTAGTGGGATCATTTACACAAAATCAAGTAGGTTTATATGGAAAAATTAGTACTTACAAGGGTGTTAGTGAAAAAGCCGTGGGGTATAGCTTATGGAGCAACTATTGACAACGCCGGTTTCTGTTTGTCACTTGCGAGCAATCTTTTCTGCAACAATGTACGTACGATTCTAGCAGTACCCCTCCTACCCTACCAGTACGTAGTACTACACCACAAAACATTGATGGATCGGTGGTCACGGACTAAACATTTCTTTCTGGTAATAAGTGTCCGGTGGTTACTAGCGAGGCTGTCACCGTTCTCGTGTGGACTTTATTCCCTGCCGATCCGTTCCGGCTCTTGATATGCACCGCACTTAAAATCAGTGCTATTTTGCGTAAGATGTTACTACTCTTACTACGTAATTAGGAGCTGCCTAAGCGGTCAAGTGCTACTGCTGTACATCTATTGCACGTTGAAATTGTGCTGGTAGTCAATCTGGTCATTTGGTGGTAACACAAACATAGTGCTACAAACGGGGCTGATGCTGTACCCTTGTACCAACTACAGAGGAAACACCGCTCACCTAAAAACAGAACCTACGACTCATTACATCCACACGCAAGCAAAATCTCACTGCCATATGGTACTCCTAGAGCCCTAGTAGGAAAAAAAAACCCCGAAAAATGTCAGTACACAAAACTCCAACTCCCGTTTTGCATCTGGACCAGATTAGCAGTAACAAAAGTGAAAAAAAAGGGCGCACCTGCGCTGCGCTGCGCCCCCCTGAGGCCCTGACGTTGCATATCGTGTCCGTTTTCTTTGTTCTTTACCTGCTCCGGTGGTGGACCACCACCCCCGCTTCCCGTTTCCCACCCACGCCCCCGAGACGAAGCCGGCGTCTCGCGTGCGGGCGGCGGCCACGCTTCGCCGCCACGTCTCCCACGCAGCGAAGCGAACCCCAACCCAACCTAACCCAAGGTAAACTCCAACTCCATCAAGTAGCGGCGTACGCTGCCACGCGGGGTGACAGCTTTGCGCATGCGGTTAACAGCAACGTCTCTCTCTCCCTCTCCTCGCCCGTTTCCCCTTCTCGGCTTCGTCGCCTTCTTCTCCTCCTCGAACAGAAGAGTCGGACCCTTCCAAAAGCGACGGGTAGATTGCCAGCCAGCCCAACTCCTTCCTACTCCTGGTACTACTCCTACATAAGAAGAAGTCCTCCCGACTCCCATCGCGATCCCTCGCCCTGCTCTGCTGCAGTGGGAGTAGGACAAGCGGCCGCGTCGCTCTCCGGTTCCATCCATCCACGGAGTAGTAGAGTGTGCCAGTATTAGTACGAGTGGCAGTTTATTCTGCGTCCTGCTTCGTTCGTCGGTGAGGAGGAGGAGGAGGAGAGAGGGAGGGGGGCAGAGTGGGCGCGGCGGCATTTCGGAGGGGGATGTGTAGCGGCGGCGGCGGCTAGGGTGGTGGTTTGCTGTTCTTCGAGGTGGGTTTCGGGGTTTCGTTCGTTCTTGGGTTTGTTGTCTCCTTCCCCGCCCTCCGCTCTCCCTGCGATTCTCTCTGCTCCTGTTCTTCGCTTCCTGTTGCTGGTCAGATCTGGGGTCTCCGGGTGCTTCCTCCCTTTCAAATTTTGTCTCCCCCCGTCTCCGATGCATTTGGATGTTTTGGTGATTGTTTCAATCCGTTTCCTCCATGGGTGACCATGCGGCTATAGCGCTATACGACTTTGCTTTACTTCTGTTGTCTTAAAACTTTTTTTCAGCTATTCTTACGGGGGAGTCCAAGAAGAGAAACATTTTGTTGGTGTCCTTCCGATTTTTATGGGGGAAACGAATCTTTTTTGTTTTGTTTTTGCAAACAAAATAGGGAAATTTTGCTGTATGCCACTCGGAAAAGCTCTCCCCTTTGGGACTCTGCTGCAAAGTAGTAGGAGTAGAGTTCTTTTATTTTCTGATATGACAAAGTAGAGTACTATTACCGCAACTAATCTAAGATTATTGTCTTTCTTGTTTAACTGTTCATGTGCTAAATCCCAACTGTTAGCACAAAATAGTACTACTACCAGATGAACTGGCTTTGGCTTCCACCGCAATTTTCTTTTGCTTTTTCGCTGTCAATTTCACAAATTAAATAATGGTAGAAGATATGGCTTTGGCTACCATTATACTACTAGTAGTAATGATCTTATGATTTTTTTCGTCCAGTTGGCAAATTAAAGTTAGTAAGAAACCTGCCTGCTTAATGCTACCTTTAAATGCCTGCCGTTTTTAAATTTAAATTACTTTTCTAGGCTGGCGTTTCAAGATTTTGTTTTTAGGAAAGCTTTAGGCTTCAAGCGGACGTTTTTTCAATTCAATGAATTTATACCCAAGTTGTGATCTTTTGGCCTGTCCCGATCACACGGCTGATATTCTGCACCTAAAACCAAATTTTGTTTTCTTACTCGCACATGTGCTACAATAATACTAATTATAAGGACTGTTGGATTATATCTAACCATCCATAATTCCAGTCCTGTTGCAGCTCATATAGTTCTTTTTTAAAAAAAATGCTGGAGGTCCAAAGTTCGTATCAGCCTAATCCATTGAGCATCGCAGAGCTGATATGATGGGAATATTAGTGGTTTCTCTTCTGGTTGTCAAATATAATTTTAGGAATAAAATCAACATTTACTTCCTTTCTGTAGCTGTCAGTCAGATAGGATTGCTGCACCTATGCTCGAGTTAATGTACGTTATACCATGCGAAACTCTGAAAGTATCTTATCAATGTCTTGCGATCCTCTTGACAATATTAACCCCTGAATCAGTATTTTTAAATGGGCATTTTCATCTGTTAGATCTGCTTGTTGTCTTTGTGCTAAAAAAAATCAATTTGGTCTGCCGTTATTGATGCGATACTGGAATTCACACAAAACATACCTTTGTGCTGAAGAAAACAATTGAGGCAGTCACCATTGATATAGGATAATGGATTCAAACAAAACATATCTTGGAATTACATACCTATTTTACATGATCTTGGTGCTAAAAGGGTTGAACATAATTGTGGAGTTAAACCTCGATTCAAGCCTGTGCTTATATGGGAATCATACTATGAATCAAACTAGAACTTAATGTATGATATGAAATTTCCAAGATTGGTGGCTATACCCCTCTTTACATTGTGTGGTTGTGTTCCCCACTCAACATGTCACATTGTTTTGCTATTTTGTTCACTAATTTTATAGTTTGTTTAACATAAAAGTTTGTTCCCTGTAACCGTAGTATTGTTTTCTTACATCTTTCAGCTAGCATCTGTAGTAATTCTCGCAAGTTATTTGAAGGACAAATATGGCTACTATTCAAGATATAGGTGTCTCTGCAGCTATCAACATACTGAGTGCCATCACTTTCCTGCTAGCGTTTGCTTTCCTGCGACTACAGCCCATCAACGATAGGGTTTACTTCCCAAAGTGGTATCTCAAAGGTGCAAGAGAGAGTCCAAGTCATGGGGGTGCATTTGTGCGGAAGTTTGTCAATTTGGACATGCGATCATACTTGAAGGTCTTAAGTTGGATGCCTGCTGCTCTCAAAATGCCAGAGGATGAGTTAATTAGCCATGCAGGCCTTGATTCAGCTGTCTATCTGCGGATCTACTTAATAGGGTATGCAATTTATATTCATAAATTCTGCTAACTTTTTAAGTCGTCAATTATACTTTAGGTCAGACATATATTTAAGGGAGGGGGGGGGGGGGGTTTAGCTTTCAGGTTTTCTCCTTGACAGAAGGGAAGGGCTCTAGTGTTGGACCATATTTTAATATTTACATACTATTCATTTTAATTGTCTTATATTTTTATGGATTCTAAATCGTTGCTATTTCTCCATTTCTTACATATGTAGAAGTGTACTTCTAGTACCGAAAATGTTGTTTTGTTGAATGTTTCTGTTTTATCCACTGGGTATCTCCCATCTCTGTTACTTTTCTCTGCCAATACTTTTACACTAATCTCCTTTACTATTAACTGTTGCAGGCTTAAAATATTTGCTCCAATCACAGTTCTAGCATTTATTATTCTTGTGCCTGTTAATTGGACCAATATTACCCTTCAAAGCTCGAAGGTGCAGCACAGTGATATTGACAAACTTTCAATATCCAACATACCTGTAGGGTCAAAGAGGTTAGTACCAGATAATTTTTCTGTCTTAAAATATAGTAATATACCTACATATTACTGTTAATGTTGTGTACCATCTTTGGCTAAAATATGGGCATGCCTGATAGATTACTTCAAACACAATTTAAGATAGTGAGTATGGGGTTGGTTCAAATGGTAAGTGGAATGATGATTGCTCTTACTTTCTTTCCCCATTTGGGCTTAGGAAAGTCATGAAGATCCGAAGATGTATAGAGATGACCATGCAGTATGAACAACCACCCAGCCTCTGTGATAATACATGAGCTGGGAGTCAGAAACGGTAGTAGCTTGCATGTGTGGGGTGTGCAATTCTGAAGGCCATTAATTTTAACCTAGCTTGTTGTGTCAGTTTGGTGTGATACTTTGTAATAGTAATTAGACAAATAGTCGCAAAGGTTTGATCTTGCCATAGATAAGTAGGTGAGTGGTTATAGTTGATATTAGCCTTCCAGGCAGCACATTAGTCTTGCAGGATACCCTGTTCATCAACTCTGAAACTATTGTTTTAGTGTTCACTATGCCTGTGACTTTTTTTTAATGCAGGTTCGCAGCTCACCTGACCATGGCTTATGTTTTCACATTTTGGACATGCTATGTGCTGTTACGGGAGTATGAAATAGTGGCAACAATGCGTCTGCGCTTTCTTGCATCAGAGAAGCGCCGCCCAGATCAGTTCACGGTATGATCTTGTGAACTCTATGCATTTGGCAGTTCAATTTATATTACTTGATATTTTCTTTCTAATGTGCCTTCCAATTCTACTTAGTTCATAGCATGTCATGTCACTAACAGTGTTCATTTCACAATGAATCTAATAATGCCACTTAAGTCTTTTTACACATCTATGGAAGACAAAAAAGCTTCACCTCATGGATAGTGATTGAGGGACTACGTGGGAACTTGAATAATGTAAAATATCAGCTGATAAAAAAGATAATCATGAAAACCACTATTCTTGAAATGTTATGGACATTGAGTTGTTGACATCAAAACCATAAAAGTATCATTATTGAATGCTTGCTGTATACTGCTCATTCTGTAAAATGAAAATTGTTAGGTATGTTTGCACTGTTTATTCTTATAGATGCTCTAAGAAATGGATTTCTATCCAAAAGAAAAGACGAATTAGTTAGGGCACCAATAGTTTCAACTGCCAACTGGGTATAATTTTTAATGTGACTTTTGAACTTGCAAGTACCTGGTTCTATCCAGATATTTAACTAAGCTGAATGTGGCTAACCAAGATAGGTTGGTGGGAGAACTCATCTTTAAAATTGGAAAGCCTCTGGTGAAGGAAGATTTTGTAACTGATTATGACTGAAGAGCAATGATATACTAATTGACCAATGTTGATTTTTAGGTCCTTGTGCGGAATATACCGCCTGATCCTGATGAATCAATTGGTGAGCTTGTGGAACATTTCTTCCTTGTAAACCATCCTGACCATTATCTTACGCACCAGGTAATATTTATATTTTACAGTCTGGTATTTATGCTTCACTGGATCTTTCTGTCTGGTCAGTTCAAAGTTCATAGCGAAGTCATGTGAATAGTTATATGCCATTAACTTCTTTCATATATGCCTTTCCTTTTTATCTTTCTGCAATCAAATGTAGTTCTGTTTGATTCCTTAGTTTTAACTGCTTATCGTTACTAAAAAAAAAAAATCTATGCTCTGATATGGCTTACCACTACCATGTTCTTATCATTCATTTCATGGACTGGTATAGGTTGTCTATAATGCAAATAAGCTTGATAAGATGGTCAAAGAGAAGAAGAAAATGCAGAATTGGCTTGATTACTATCAGCTGAAATATGAAAGAAATACATCTCAAAGGCCTACTACAAAGGTTGTTGCTAAATTTGATCATGTTAATCTCTTTACTTCTCTTACACAGTTCTTGTTGTTTTTATCAAAACAAAAAAGAATAATTTTTATTTATGATTCCTTATTTATTCTTCTTATTTTTCTATACTTCTTTTCCAGACTGGTTTTCTTGGATGTTTTGGTTCAAAGGTGGATGCTATTGAATACTACACATCTGAAATTGAGAGGATAGAAAAGGAAGTAAGTCATAATATCTTTGTGCTGTGCCTCCTAATGCATTATTCTGCTTTGAGTCTAGTGTTATTTCAAAATACTACAGTTGACTTCATATAGTGTCTTAACAAAAGTAAAGCTTCTTGCTATTTTACTGAAGCAAATAGTGTCTTTCTTTCTTGTCTTTGCATCCATCAATATTGGCAAATATGTGTTAGCTTTTATTAGTAATTAGCACTGTATAAGTTGAATGTTGTGTTTCACATGTTAAAAGGATTTCCCCAGTACCATAAACCACCGGATTAACTTCTTATAAATGATATTTAGGAAACTGATGAACGTGGAAAGATTATGAAGGATCCAAAATCAGTTGTGCCAGCAGCCTTTGTTTCCTTCCGATCGCGGTGGGGAGCAGCAGTGTGTGCTCAGACACAGCAAACCAGTAATCCAACTGTCTGGTTGACCGAGTGGGCCCCAGAACCTCGTGATGTCTATTGGGATAACCTCTCTATTCCTTTTGTTTACCTGACAATTAGGAGGCTGATAATTGCGGTTGCATTCTTCTTCCTGAACTTCTTTTATGTGCTCCCGATTGCATTTGTTCAGTCCCTTGCAAATATTGAAGGGATTGAGAAGGCAGCTCCATTTCTGAAGCCTTTGATTGAAATGTACGTGCATTTATCTCTTTCTTCTGCAATAATTATTATCAGTTGTTCCTCAATTTTTTTTTTCAGTTGAAAGCTTACCACATACTGCTTTTCTAGTATTGGATTTTCAGAACATGGCTTTATGATCTTATCATCATCCAATATATGATTTAAGTGCTACTGCCATGTAATAAATTAGACTTCTGTGTGGGTTGCAACTTGCAAGGAATGTTATTGCAGAAAAAAAATGATAAAATATATTTTTGTTAACTTTTGATGATCAAATCCTTTCAAGATATCATAGGGTCAGTTGTCCTTTAAGGCTTTAAGTAAGCTTCAAGATAAATATCATGCAGAGGTAACAGAGGCTTTTTCCTACCGAATGAAACTGAGGAAATGTATGCATGAAATCACGGTTGAACTTGAACTTACTGTTAAAGAATTGAAAACATGGCTTGGATGCTATGAAGGGGTTTAGTCCTGCTGCACTGTGCACTCTTTACAGATGTATTTCTGTTATATATTTTGGCACATAATTTGTGAATTTCCAGTCATTGCAAATTTATTGTTTGTTAACATTTCATTCTTGCTTTCTTTTGGAAATACAACTGAAACTTGCTAGAATGAAATTAATTAGCATTATATCAGTTGTGCTTTTGCACCTGCTTTGTTGCCTGTGGCCATCAATAACTTGATGTTCTAGTGCAGCTAAAGTCTGTTCTATACACCTGATCCAGTACTTGCTGAAATCTGTCCATTGAATGGTTGATGCTAAGCAATACTGTTTTTTGCATCTTATTTTTCCTCTATTATGAAAATGTTTTGGCAATCTACCAATCTCACAACTTATCCATTAATGTACCACTTTGAGGAGCAAGCAAGTCATGGAACCTACCAAGCCAAAGTATATCTTTGAGCACCTAATGCCCTAAATAGACAAGTTCATAAACTTTACATTTGATTTACTACTTTTTTCTTCTACATTCTTCTGTTGTTGATTTGTCATTTCACTTATGTCAATTTTTCTTTTCAACTATTGCCCAGGCGTACTATTAAATCATTCATCCAAGGATTTCTGCCAGGAATTGCTCTGAAGATTTTCCTTATATTGCTCCCTAGCATATTAATGTTTATGTCTAAAGTTGAAGGATTGACATCGGTGTCCTCACTGGAGAGGAGATCTGCTTTTAAGTACTATATCTTCTTGTTCTTTAATGTATTCTTGGGAAGCATTATTGCAGGATCTGCTTTAGAGCAGCTCAAAACATTTCTTCACCAATCAGCAAATGAGTATGTCCTCTTTGTCTACCCCACAAGCTGCACCTTCAATCCATTATCCTGTATGCTTGCAATTTATATATGTCCTGATACCACAATTTAATTTAATTTTACAAGCCATCCTATCTCTCTGATTGAGCTCAACTAAACCATAGAACATCACCAACCATAGATAGAAGTGTACAATAAATTATGTCAATGTGTTGATATTTTTTTCCTTTGTTTTGTTCATAGAGGTAGTTGACAAAACAAAAAAATATTGACTATGCCAAACTGATAGTTGCATTCTTTTGCTAGTTACAATATAGATGTGTCTCAAGCCTTAAAAGTTTTGCACGACATGAGACAGCAGGCAATTCTATTGGCTGTTACCTATGACATAGATGGCAGTTGCAATTTATTTACATGAGCCAGCTGTAGTTAAAGAAGAGAGTGAGGGAGGGAGTAGCACCAACCATTCTAGAGCGCATATACATGGGTGTTTTTTGTTCATTCAGAACTAAACATGAACCGTGAAAAAAGTGGCACGAAGGTGCACATTCATCATATCATTTACTAATAAGGAAACTTGCTTTGTCACTGACGTTTGCCTATTGTTTTTACATTGCTCTGCTGCCCTGCCTTTCATGCTCTTCATTTGTGCTACAATTTCCTATTGTATTTCCTTTCTTTTTCGAAGAAACTCTTATACTCCTTTTCAACTGTACTTATTTGCCTCTTTGCAGAATACCAAGGACAATTGGTGAAGCAATTCCAATGAAAGCAACCTTTTTTATAACATATGTAATGGTTGATGGTTGGGCTGGGGTAGCTGGTGAAATTTTAAGATTGAAACCATTGATAATCTTCCACTTGAAAAACTTTTTCTTGGTCAAGACTGAGAAAGACAGAGAAGAAGCAATGGACCCTGGAAGCATTGGTTTTGACTCAAATGAGCCTCAAATACAGCTCTATTTCTTGCTCGGACTTGTCTATGCTGTGGTGACACCATTTTTGCTTCCTTTCATATTAATATTCTTTGGGTTAGCATATGTGGTATACCGTCACCAGGTAATAACCCTTTGGAACACTTTGTGATTTTTAGCACTTTGTGATTAATCATGAATCTGTCCATCTTTTGTTTTGGGGTGCCAAGTGAAAGTAATTCTTGAAAAAATCATTTTCACAAATATATGTCTATCAATCTGAGTACTTCTTTTTGTACTTTGTTCAAATAATCATGAGGCTTGGGTTCACTGGCTAACTTCCTGTGTTATTATTGAAGTTCCACATCAGGATACTATGGAATGCATGTGCTGTCTTGATGGCAGTCGGACAAGCAAATCATTTGCATTGTAAATTTCATTGTTAGAAACATGCAGAGGAGCCCTCTTTAAAGTTTTGAGGCTACTGCTATCATCATATGTGCCATCATTTAATATGACATATAGCAAAATTAACCATGTTAAATTTTAAGAAACATGTCCAGTACATTGTTGCAAACCATCTTGTGGGTCCAAAAGCATTGATTATGAATGAGAGAATGAGATAAAAAAATGCTTACATTTCATCACCCTTAGTTTGGATTCATAAAATGAATGTGAGAATTTCCGTTTCCATTATCCTTTTCACTTATTGTTTGCCAGGGGTTTGTCCTCGTTGTTTCTCCCAGCACAAATTTAATTTGGTTTGAAATTTGACTGCGTTTCTGCTACATCAAGGACACTTCAAACTTGTTTTTTCCCCCATTTTGGAATCAAAACGATGTTGTTTTCTGTTTTGTACTTAAATAATGGATAACCAATTGCATTAGGTAGCTCCATATAATTTATCATGTTGCTATACAATCGCATACCCTGTCTGTACTTGTTTGTCAGGTGTGATAGTCTATGTGTTTGCTAGTCCACAATTATATAGTTCTTTTGATTCTTTGGCTATGTTGTCTACTATTATTTCCATGTAAGAAGTTAGCACTCTCGCCTTTCACTGTATTCAAAGGAATTAAATGTGTGACAATTTAGTCTTCGGTGCAATAGAACAAGTAATTCTACATTCTGATTATGTATTAAAATGATTGACTTCCTAACTGAGGGTTCATTGTTTCAGATAATAAATGTGTACAACCAAGAATATGAAAGTGCAGCAGCATTTTGGCCAAGTGTTCATGGACGCATAATTGTAGCATTAATCGTATCACAGCTGCTTCTCCTTGGATTACTAAGCACAAAAGGTGCTGGCCAGTCAACACCGGTGCTCCTTGTTCTCCCTGTTGTAACCTTTTATTTCTATAAATACTGCAAGAATCGCTATGAGCCTGCTTTTGTGGAATATCCATTACAGGTAATGCTCATCTCAGAATCAGTTTATCATGCCACTATGTATTTTAAGTTTTTATCTATTAAACCTTAGCTTGTGAAATAAAAAACAATATTAAAATTCTGAAGTTTTCGTAGTTAATACCTTGGGATGAAAGTTCCTATACATGTTGATAAGAACATATGAGCGTATTATCACCAATTCACCCATGGTTCTATTTGAAATGAACTGTAAATAACCAAAAACATTGTAGATGTCTGTTACCATAATTTGTCTAGAGCCCTATAGAATTGCTTTTTAGCCAAAGCTGTCGTGGTGTAGTAAAATGAACTAAATATCCAGAAATGGTAGATTTTAACAGCCAGCAAGTTTAAAATGTTTTATACAATCTTGTTAGCAGGATTGGCATATAGTTGCCTTCAGTAAGATTTGGGTGTATGACGTACTGAAGTAGTATTATTTAGTCGATGAATATTCACATTTTTTTAAGAATAAGAGTACATGGAAGTGGCTATTCTCATCGAATGCTGCTTTGCAAGAAATATGCCAAGCACAAGTCTGCAACTAACAAGATATCTGAAGGCATCTGTTTAAATCCTTTCCAAGTGTGTGTGATGGTCCTATGTGTTCAAATTTACCAATAGTACAACATAAGTACTCTGCCATTAAATTATTTTCGACGTGCCTTTTTTTACAACAAGGCTACTGCTGTTGAATGGTTCTGCTTACAAAAGAAATCATTTGTAGTGATATCTACAGAGATGGTGTTGAAACTTTATCATGCAAAATAAATGTCTTAACATACAGCCTCATCGTTTGGCTTTTTTCGTAATAAGCCAAAACGGCTTATTAGAGAATAAAAATGAATTTGTAGGTAAAACTTTTATATATGTGTTCTCGGTGACTTAAAAGCCAATGTTGAAAAAGAAACTACGTTGAAAATATCTTAAAATCAATGTCAAAATTAAGTTTGAAAATTCAAATTTTGGCTTTTTCTTTAGCTGAATAGGCCATCCGATGGGAGCCATAACTTGGATAGAATTGAAGCTTCTATATTTTATTTTGGACATTGTCAGTTCTATGTCAAAAGGAGAATGTGCATCTTGTGAATTAGAGAAACTGTGGAATTCAACCTTCAAACTGAAATCAACCAATAACGTCTCATCATTCCCTTTTCCAGGATGCAATGCGGAAGGATACCCTAGAACGCGCAAGAGAGCCAGGGTTCGACCTCAAAGGATACCTGATGAATGCCTACATCCACCCGGTGTTCAAAGGCGACGAGGACGACGAGAAGTTCTCCATCTCCGACGAACCAGAGGCGGAGCAGGTTCTCGTGGCGACAAAGCGCCAGTCCAGACGGAACACCCCAGTTCCGAGTAAATACAATGGCTCTGAATCACCTTCCCTTGCTGAAATTGTAAATGATCAACGGCTATAAATATAATAGAGGTGATGGCTAGTAGGTTTGTAGTTTCGACATGTACATTAAAGAGCACCAATAATGGTTTTGAGGATCGGTTTTGTTTACAGCAAGGAGGAATGGCAAAATATATATATATATACCAATGGGCTCCCGATGTTGCTTTCCTGTATTTTTCACTGTTTTCCTGGTGATGTGGTGGTGTAAATTGCTATCCCCTGGTTCATTGTTTTCTGCGGTTATGAATCTGTGGTCGCACGATCCTAGCCAAGATCTTGGTAAATTCTCCGGTTATTTTGTAGGAATCTGGAACTAAACAAGATGAAAAGAAATACGGAGTAAATATCGAAGCCACCAAATCTGCTGCCTGCCGCTTGCTGGCGCTTGTTTCACTCGCATGCCCCACTTAATCAATCACATCCCACAATCAAGACCACTGTTACATTAGAAGAACGCATCAGTTGACAAATACTGAGCTAACTCAAAGCAAAGGGCTGTTGTAATTTTTCCCTTTTCTTTTCTCTCGGTTGATCAGTTTTCATTTTTAAGCACACTGAAAAAATGCCCGTACGTTGTAACGAGTGAAGGCTATTTTAATTTTTTTATTATTATATGGTTTAGTTGAGATGAAATTCACTGTGGGAATTCGTTTGGATTTATCTTTTTTTTTAGAAAATCATGAGCTGCAATTAGGAGTCCGATCGTCTCAACTAAGCATGTGAGATTTTTAAAAGAAATTTTTTATACGACTTCTTTTGTATTTTCAAAATCGAACGAACTTAAAAAAACCAACTCAAATACGGATATGTATTTTCAAAAGTGAACGAACTTAAAAACCAACCCATACACGGATGACATACTAAAGTACTGGCAAAAACATCTTTAATTTTTATAATAGTAGAGATTAGTTTTTTTAACAGTTTTTATATATGTGGGATTAGGATGGTAAGGGAAGGAGGAGATATTAGAGAAATCACTGATCGACGATCGTTACCTTGTCAACGGAAGTGCCCCGGATTGAGTCCGTAGCAATTAGTTCTTGCGCCTTCGCCGCTGGTCGCAGCAAATCTGGAGCTAAGCGAGAGAATGAAGAGAGAAACGACTAGGACGAATTTTGCCCGCGCCTAATATCTTTTGCTATTTGATCTGAATGAATTGATGTTCGGCACAATACCTGGAGATATATCTTTGTCGTGTGGCTATCAAACCGGCACCGGCTCTCACTTCGCCCTACCATCCACGGCACTCAAGGAGGATAAACTCGACGGCAAATTAGCTAGCATCACCAGCAAAAGAACCTCGACATAAGAAACTTTGTATACGGATGAAAAGTACTCCCACTGTTTCGTACCATAAATCTTAAAAAAATATCATTTTAATTTTATTTTTTTTGCTATTCAAACTTAAAAAGAGTTTGACTAAATTTATAAAAAAAATTTCAGCAACATCTAAAACGCTAAATTAGTTTCATTAAATCTAACATTGAATATATTTTAATAATATATTTGTTTTTATTGAAAACTTGATCAAACAAAAAAAAATAGTTTAACTAAAAAGAAGTTAGACCAGCTTATAATATAAAATATAGAGAGAATTTTAGGCCAAAATTCTCAAATTTTGGTCTATCGATGCTCGATGAGTCGATGGGTCCCCATAGCCAAAGGACATGTCTCTGGCCAAAATTTAGTTACTTTTTTGATTCAGCGAAAATTTGTTCAGTTGTCAACTTTTTTTTTCCATTCAAATGCATCGTGTGTGCAAACACTACGCAACGAAATTATCATTATCCATCGGAGCCAAAAAAAAAAAAGCCCTAATGATAAAACAGTGGAAGTATAGACACGGAAATGAAAGTTTCTAATAAAGCTCCTGAATATGAGAAAGCTCAAATCAAATATTATAGATGGTTTGTGTATACATAAGGAGACACCGCCACTGTGTTCCATACTCCCATACACCGCCCCAGTGTTCCATGCTCCCATACGCAGTGTTACAATTTAACCAATGACACAAGATATATGTAACACAAAAGGAAATAACATTTGGTCCAGCAGTGCTGAAACTTCATGGCCTTGGTGGTTAAAGCCCAGCAGGATAAAGGACAGGCCATCTTTCTCAGAGCCAATGCTTTACAATAGTTAGCTCTTCTGATGCACAGCAATCACATGAATGTCCATGTCCTTCAGCATGACTGACCGTCCACAAGAATCACATGGTGCAGTCCTGGATCCACAGATACTCTCGTGCTCACACATGTTGCGAAGCCGATCCCGAGCATCAAGTGGTTCTCCACCAGCTTGAACAGTGTCACCACAAAATCGGCACACAATCAAGCGCAAAGGGCAGGTTGAGGATTGGTGTTGAACCTGAGATTTAAGAACAGAATAAATTAGTCATGTGACTTCCAATATTACATTACCAGTAAATTACAGTAACTGTTTGAAACAAAAGCTGGTAGGCAGTTTCTCTACTGTTTGTATTGAGTGAGGAACAATACTCGTAAAACTAACCATTGGCAATAAAAATATATCATGCAAATAAAATTATTACATCTAAAAAGGTATTGCAATCATTTTGTTTAGAAGTAAAGACAATATTACGCTTGGTAAACTGGGTGTACTCAAATCATTGGCGGGATTCAACGAGTAAAAAAGAACTTCAGAAGTTAGGAAGAATGTTCAAAGAATATAAGTAGCGAAGGCAAAATACATACCATATCTTCCTTTTCAAGGACCACCCCACAAGGGCATTGTAGTGGCTCATGGAAAACTTTCATGTGCTTCTCCATTTCTCTCTGCTGGAAAGCTTGCCCACACTTGTTGCAATGCACGTGATCTGTTGCTTCCTCCTTTCGAAGAACAACACCACACCCATCATGCATGCAAACAACATTGTGTCTCACACAGTATGCTTCATGAAGTAGTGAAGTTCGGTTGGATATATAGCGTTTGCAGTTCTTGCACACCACTGAATCAACATCAACACTAGATGAGGCACTAGCCTGCTCACCAATCCTTTGGCCATTAAGAACATCTTTAATAGCTACAGAAAGTTGGTATTTAGTGGTTCCCTTGAAACCATAAACTCCAATACTGTAGGTACCACTGGAGAGACTGGCATCCCTTGGTTTCAGTATGAGGACCTTAGATCCCATTTCATGAGAAGACCATTCGTGACGGTGCTGAGTTGGGAAAACTAAAGGATGCCTTGATACATAAATATCAGTGTCACCACCACTTGTATATGTCTCTATCTTAACCTCAATATTTGCATGCCTAGAAGCTACTTTCTCACCCATACCTTCATCAACAAGAAATTTGTAGTACCTAAACTTTCCTTCTTCCACAACTCCAGATTCAACCTTTCCAGTCTCAAGTGGCACAAGCACATGTTGATTCTCTACGTTGTCCAAAACTGAATCTGGTCCTTCAATGTCAACTTCCACATCTGTCTCCAGGACAGAAACACTTGATGCAGGTTTTAATTCAAGAACCTTCAACTTGTATTGCAGCTGCCCATAATTCACCACAACAAAATCATTTTCAGATAGTGTTGCATGATTGCGGAGTGCCGTTTCAAGGACAGCCCTATGGTTAGGAAGGTCTGAGAACCCCACTCCTTCTGGCTTCAGCTTCGCATATGTCCCTTTGGGTAAACTGACATACCTAACCTCAATCAGAGGAACATCTGGGCTATCACCCCGGAACAGATTGTTCCACACATGTGGAGTGAGTTCTGCGGAGCCTTCCCTTGCAGTGAACTCAAGAACACCACAACATGTTGCCTCATCGGCATCATTATCCTGAGGGGCACCCGGAACACTGTCTCTAACCTTTGACAACCTGAAGTACATGGGACCTTTGTCCAGTGCTCCTTCATCAGACAATTCCTTAAAAGACGATGGTGGCAACTTGATCTTATCCCCAGGACCATCATATCGAAGAGCTTCAAACATGTGCAAGAAAGAAATCCCCTTTCCAAGTTGCATCACCTCTTCCATCTTCTGCTGAGCCTATTACAACACAAATACATAAAACAGATCATTAACACGAGCCGGTAGCACATCAAAAGGCAGGAGTAGACACCAAAGAAAACAAATGCAAGCATTTCGATAAATTGTCATGGGGAGCAAGCAGTCCAATTCAACAAGTTGAACCAATCAAACATTCAAGATATCCACCAAAGTATCAGGAAAAGAAATTATTGTTTCTAATATAACAACAAAGGGGACATTGGGCGATCGAGTGAATGCATAATCTTTGCCGCATGTGTTTGCTCAGAATTAACATGAAGGCTTTGGGATCAAATTTGGGTTTGGGAATCGAATTACTCCACTTGAGAAGCCTATTTACAATCATCAAACAGGATAAAAACCAATACAAACGACCGCAAAATGGATCACGGACGGGGGGAGCAAAAGTGATCCTAACCCTAGATTCCCTAGCAGGTTAGGAACGTGGTTGTTGTGTGCTTTTGTGGTGGTATTATTACCTCTTCCTGCGCGCGGGCGGCGTCGAGGCGGCGCTCGCGGTGGGACGCCTCGAGCGCGTCGCGGCGGCGCGCGGCCTCGGCCTTGGCGCGGCGCTCGCGGTCGGCCTTGTCCTTGGCGCGCTGCACGCGCTCCCGCTGCTCCCGCTCCAGCTTCTCCCGCGCCTTGCGCAGCTCGAAATCCATCCCCCTCCTCCTCCTCCTCCTCGTACCCGATCCGATTCCACGCTGATTGCTTGCTTGGGTTCCCCTCCCCTCTCCTCTGCTCTGGTTGTCGTCGGCGATGATCTCCCGGCGGCCGCGGGAGGGGGGGAAATTTATGGAGGGAGTCGGGTGTCGAGGGGGGTCGGTGGCGGCCGGAGTTGGAGGAAGCTTCTGGTCTTCTTGTTGAGGCCGCGTCAGGAGTCGGAGAAGGTAAACGAAACAAGACGTAACTGCGGACGCACGGCCGCTGCTTATCAGGGCCCACCTGTCAGAGAGAAAGGTACGGAAGTGTAAATTGGGACGGAAAAGGGTCCACACCACCCAACCGTTTCCGTTTTCTTCTCTTTTTTTTTTTGAGTGAATTTCATCTTGGACCTTTTTTTTTGAGTTTCACAATGGACAAGGGGTTTAACAAAATTTTCAATTCACACCAGCTAGACTTGCCAAAGCATAGCAGTTTGGACCTAGGGCATTGCTTGAGCTGCTACGGTGCTAGTGCTACCACGGCTATTTCAATCATCCACATTTGATTTGGCGGCATCGATTGCTTCGCTTCAGTTGGAGTTGCCTGAACCATGATTGTTTGGCTATTCATAATCATGTCATCTGTAGCTGAGCTGGTGTGCGAGGATCAAATTTTCGATGCTTGAGAAGTTGAGGTTGAGTCCTGCACGTGTCGAACCCACAGAACTGATAACCACCACTGGCTACCTCAACATGAAGACCAGCCCTTCTTGCCCTGCCTCCCTACTTGAGCTCCATCACCAGCACCTCCAGTGCTATTGGCCGTTCGCTCGTGCTCGAGCTTTTTCGATGTTGCCGATCCATGATATGCTGCTCGTCCCTCCAGATTGGGTGCCCGGAGTTCCAGGCCGCTTCCGTACTCTTTCCTTTAAGATTGGGCTGCCGGAGTTCTGGACGAGACCATCGCTGCCCTACTCTTGCTGACATGCTCCACTTTGGATCATGCATGTCTCGGGAGCAGTCACCACCTCCTCTGACAGCGTGGCAGATAGCAGGAGACTAGGGGGGAGAGAGAGACGAACAGTACTTGCATTGGAGATGGGCTGCCGGACTTGGAGAAGATGAGGGGGTGGTCTAGAGTGAAACCAATGGTAAAGATATGTGGTTCAAAGTGAAAACCATTGCTAGGACCTTGTCTAAATTGTAACAATGGTAAAAATATGTGGTCCAAACTACAATTTACTCTTTTTTTTTCTTGAATTGGAGCCGAAACAAAAAACCCGGATAAAAGAAAATCGAATGTTATTAAATACAAAAACGAATGGCACGGATATGATAATAGATATTTATCGAAATAAAAGGATCCCTTCACATGAACTTCTCGAGTCAACGAAAAGATGTAAGTGAACAAAAAAGATTTTTCTCTTTTTTTGTTATGGCTAAAATATAGTGAATTTGAATATGATACTTTGCATATATGTGTAATACTATTAGGAGTAAATGTTCAATATTTTGTATAGTTTTTCATGACATTTATTATTTGGTGTGTACGGAGTGTGTAAGAGAAGCTTGTGCGCATATGATATATATATATATATATATATATATATATATATATATATATATATATATATATATATATTCCCTATGCGGGGATAGAGTGGAGAGAAAATTAAGTATATAGCAGAAGAAAGAGTGAGTAGGGATAATATATCAATACTTTGTCAGCCACTTGTGAACGTTGAGTTATACAGGGTGAAACAAAAAAGTTATTGAAACATTTAATTTTCTTTTGTGAAACACAATGAAAACACCAGTTAAAACATGACGCTATTGCGTATGAAACATTGAGTTTTAACGGTTTGAAACATATGTTTTTCTTTCATCAGAGTATAATCATGTGATATTTTGTTATAAAGATTTAATTATAACAAATACAACGATATGATTGGATAAAAAATCGAAGAAATTGTTGAGAAGAAAAATATTAAGAAGACAACCATGTGCACACATATATGGATAAATAAATACATAGATAAAAAAAAGTAGTTGTATAGCATATAGTGGTTAAGTTGCCTTCCATTTTCTCTTCCCTCGCGCTACCGATAGAAAGCATTCACCATCAAACTCACGTGTCATATGACTCGTATGTGGTACTATATGGAAGAATCAGTACAATGAAGTTTACAAATTTTAAAAGAAATTTTATTGAGAAGTCATCTTTATTGAGTTAGTAGTCTTACTTATACCAGATGTTAGTCCTAATTAAGTTAGTTGTTTTGAATATTTGTAGATATAGGGAATTACTTTAACCAATACGGTCATACCAAATCCAAATTTGGTTCAATTTCAACTCCGTAATCTGCTCAACTCAATATATATCATGAATCTTTCTCAGTTTTCAACTTCTTTATGGGTTAAGCATGGAAGGCGGGCTGTGCCATTTTTTCTTAATTCCATGAATTGGCACAGGTAGTTGATACACAGTCCGGAAATAACCCATAATAGATCGTTTGATTCAACCTACGTCAGAAATAAAAGCTGCATGGACCTATTTTGTTTTTTAAAAAAAGCATTCACAACCAAATAGGCTCATAGGCTACAGCCTGAACATTCATATATACTGAGTTGATGGTACACATTGTACAAAATTTAAATATTACAAACTACAAACTGGGCATGTCTTCCATGGTAGTTGCGCATTAACAGACAGCATAAGGAACAACCCTTTCCTAGTACAAACATACATATATAAAACTTTGGAATGCAAACCAACAATCCATATCAGGGACTAAATCAGTGTCCAATTGAAGAAGAGTGGTTTTCTGGCTTTCAGAAAGGTTACATTGAGCTTGAGCTAAGCTCAACAAGTGAAGAATATATTCCACCCTTTATCTGCATCAGTTCTTCATGCCTGCCTTTCTCCACTATCGTCCCGTTTTCGAGGACACCGATGATATCCGCTCCTTTTATTGTCGACAGGCGATGCGCCACCACCACGGTAGTCCTACCAACCACCTCCCGGTCCAGCGCCTCCTGAACCACGCGCTCTGATTCTGAATCCAGAGCACTTGTTGCCTCATCCAGCAGCAGCACCTTGGGGTCCTTTATAACGGCTCTCGCTATGGCGACACGCTGCTTCTGCCCACCTGACAATTGGATCCCTCTTTCGCCAACAATGGTGTTGTACCCATCAGGCAGCCCGGAGATGAACTGGTGCGCATTGGCTGCTTCAGCAGCAGCAATGATCTCTTCTTCAGATGCATCACCTTGCTTCCCATAAGCTATGTTCGCACGGATGGTGTCGTTGAACAATACCGGTTCCTGCGCCACAAGGCCAATCTGTAGACGAAGCCAGCTAACTTTGAGAGTCTCAAGCTCCACACCGTCAAAAAGGATCCTGCCAGCATCAGGTTCATAGAACCTCTCAAGCAGTGAAATCACCGTAGACTTCCCGCTTCCACTCTCCCCAACCAGCGCAGCAGTCTGAAATGATAATCCCGTCAATAAAGTTATGCACCAAACAGCAGTTTGTAAAGAAATAAATATTTTACTTGTTAGTTCAGACAGAAGGCAACCTTTCCAGAAGGAATGCTCAAGGATAGATCCTTGAAGATCTGAACATTTGGGCGCAAGGGGTACTTAAAACACACATTCTGGAACTCAATGTCACCCCTGACACTTGCAATGACCACACCCTCATCATTGCTCGAATCAATCTTGGATTTACGATCAAGAATTTTGAAGACAGAAACTACCGATTCATTAACACGTCTGCTTTCTGATCCTATTGCACTTGTTCGTGAGATTTCATTAATACCCAAAACTAACACGAAGAAGACCTAGCATATGATCAGTGAACCAAAATGTTAATAATGACCAACGCTATGCAAAATGAATGAGTTCACACCCTCAGCATGATTAACACTATGCAAAATGAAATAAGAATGAGTTCGCACCCTAAACACTTCAGCGAATGTTGCTGTTCCTTGGTGAACAAACTTTGCTCCGACATAAAAGCAGAGAGCATACGCAAAGTAGAACACAAGGAAGGAGAAGCCAAAACCCAAGGCACCAACAACTCCGTCCCTTATTCCTTGAATTATTGGAGATGCACATTTCTTCTCATAGGCGTTCATCACCTTCTGTTCAGCACAGAACGACGTGATGGTTCTGATGCCTCCAACTGCCTCAGTTGCTACTTGAGTTGCATCTTCAAACATTGACTGCATTGCACCAAAAAATTAGGCAAAACAACTCCCCATGTGTTGGAGCACCTGTATGGAGAATATTCATGATTAATTTCAAGGCATGTACCTTTGCATTTTTGTTGAAACCTTTCAGGAACATCATTTGAGCATAGGCCTGGAAACCCACCAAAGGAACTACCACTGTTATAATCAATGCCAGCTTCCAGTTTGCTACCATTGCTATTGTAAAACCTGATATTATGGTCGACAAAGTCTGGAAATTTAGTGCCAAATTGTCCCCAACGAGGCGCTTCACGTTCAAAGCATCAGTAGATAGCCTTGCACCAATTGATCCACTAGAAAAAAAAAAGTTGAAACCCATATAAGTACACCTGTAAAAATATATTGCTAGCTGACAAGTATAATGCCTTTTCTTTTTCCACTTAAAAAATCCACTTTAACTAATTTTAGTACCCATCAAATTTTCAGAAAGCTCTTATGATATTTTATTTTTGAAATTTTAATTTCTAGAATATGTTTTTCAAAGAATTCTGATATATTAACAAGCAAAATATATATATGCCAGAGTATTTGTTAGGTACGTAAAATTATATTATTCGTACATTTGGTTTAAGAGCTTGAGAGCATGAACAACCATAATAAGTCTAATATTCATGCAGTTGTGCATCTTGATTCTTGAAGGAAATTCTGATATAACAAGTCCTAGGAAAAAATGTACCACATCACGATTAGGGAAAGACATAATGTATACCTAGAGTTTTCAGGTTTATCAAACCAGCTGATCTCCTGGTACATGACACTTTTAAATGTCAATGATCGTATGCGCTCCACAAGCTTCCCACCTGCTAGTCCAAATAGGAAGTACTCTGTTGGAATAAGAAGAAATGTGGAAATTCCAAGCACCGGAAACATGCTGCCCAATAACCTGGAGTTCTTCAGTAATTCTGAACGTGGCTCATAAAACATCTTTATTGCACTTGAAACCAGTATGCCGAATACAGGAAAAATGACTCCATGCATTGCAGCAGTTA